TCAGCAGGGTGATCAAGGTGCACTGTTCCCAGAAATACTTGTGAAAATTGACTTATGAGCAACTAGACCAAAAAGTGTTTCCTTGTCAGGAGGAATAAAAGCTGCAGTGTTCCTTTTTGTGAACGGAGCCTTCTCAGTCAGTGCTGTATCTAGTGAAAAGCACATCTCATTCAAAACCCACTGACCAGTTTGCTGCTTTCTGTAGGTAGATTCAAAGCTTCAGATGACTTTCGTGACAATTAGCAGCACTTTCACATTTACACAGTGCGACATTGTAGCTGAAATAATATCAGTTTGCCTACTCAGAACTCTGATTGTTTTCTAGTCAGCTTTCAAAAAGTGAGTGCCCTAGGATTGTGGAACCAAGTAATCGTTAAATGGCAGAAAGTAATGAATTCGAAGCATATTCAACGCTGATATTTATTGTACAGCTCCTTGGCTGTATAAAATATCCAGTTTTTCTCATTTAGATATTGTTTTCTCATCTCTTTGAAAACCCACAGGGCTGAGCTTTTTTAGTCTGCATAATTTATACCTATGCAGATACTGCCCTTGATTACTGAAGAGAATCTGGGGGGGGGGGGGTGCATGTATTAGGATTTCCAGATTCACAAGCATGAGTGTTGCACCTGTTGCGAGAATGCATTTTTGTACATCACAGACTTGATTCTCCCTGTGCTTGCAGGTCCAGAATTTGGAGGGCAGAAGAACTGCGTTTATATTGGCATGGTAACTGAGGATTTAGACGTGTCCGAGTTAGTTGAAACTATTGCAGCAACAGGCAGAGAAATTGAAGAAAATTCAAGAGTATGTATTTATAAATCACAGAGCATTTCAGCACCTTTTTTTTTTCCCTTCCATATTGGCTTCAGGACATGGTTTTTTTCTTTCTGAAAGTAAATATTGTACTTGCCCACAAAAAACTCTATTAATTACTGTAGAAGTAATAATCTGTATCAACATAAGGAGAACTTTTGTTACAGGATTATAATATTCTGAGGATGTCCTGATTTCCATTTGTGGTCCTGGGTTCAGTAGTTCTAATGAAGAAGTTTAGTAGTACCGAAATAGGCTCATTTTATCACTAAAATATAAGCTGTCCAAAACCAAAAAAAGAGAAGGAAGATGGGGGCTGATTGTGAGCTGGTGTTTCTTGTCACTGCAGGATGCGGTGGGATTCAGATTGTTTATATACCAGTTTTAAGATAAGACTGTGCCCTAAAATGTGTGAAAAGTTTTCAAGTGATGGCTTAAAAATGGAAATTACAAATTACCTATTGAGGTAATAAAGCTGATGATGCAACTCCTTTTTGTAAAAGCATTTACCTGATCAGAGTTCTCCAAATGTTCTCCAAAGTAGAACTCCTAAATAACCTGCATCACTAATGAATGTCTGTCCTTTCATTCCTCTAGTGTTGGGCATTTAATTTCCTCACCTAAAAAATAAATACAGCTTCAGAAATCCTTTGCCTATTTCTGCCCATGGGAGCATGTTGATTTTGGCAATGAAACTTTTTCTAGCAGAGTTTTCTGGAGACTTTCTGCCCACTCTTGCCTGCCTTTGCTGTTTCGAGGGTGAGATGAAAGATGGTTTGCCTGTAGAGTACCTTCAGTTTTTTAAATGTTGTAGTTGAGAGATTAGGAACTGAATGTTGGAATATAGGCCGTGCTGGTCCTGAAGCTTCTAAGGAGGAACAAAGAGGAGTAGAGGACTCAGAAAGGTGCAGTCCTTGGAACTAGCTACAGTAAATCTCTGGTACTGAAAGGATCCTACACCATTAGATCCAAAACTGAGAAGCACAACCAATCTGTGAGAAGGACACTTGCATCATTGATAAGTGATGTTTGGTAAAAGAGGGAAGCTTTTATTAAAAAACTGCTTCAGTATCAGCAAGCCCTTAGGACAGACAGATAAGTACACTAAAAGGCAGGACCAAAATTTAAGACGAACATCTTGACTAGACCAGAAAACACCATGGTTCTTCCTTGTACTCTAAATGCAACCCCATTGCACTCCCTTCTGTAGTCAGTACATGGGGGTTTTCAGTTTGCTGTGGCGGTCAGTTCCTGGCTTGCCTCTCCCCCAGGGAAAAGGAGCAGCTTCCTCTTTTTCTTTTATTAATTGACAGTAACCCAGATTTTTGGCATTTTGGAGGAAGATGGCCTTGTCATCTAGGCCTTGTGCAATATTAAAACACATATTAAGATATGGAAACTTGAAAAACAAAGTTGAACCTGTAGCTGGACTGACACATACCTGGTTCAGCTTACTATGAGGCTGGTTTATGTCCCGGGCACTTACAGAAACCAAAATCTACTCTATAAACCTAAAAATTCTTCCCAGTCAGATTCAGCATCTGATGAACACTTATGTGCTAAGCAGATCTTTGAAGAATTTGGGTCACAGGCTCATCTCTAAGTAAAAGAAAAACACGTACCCTTCCTGTTTAAAATGACATTCTGTCCTCTGGGTATATCTTTTAAAAATCCTGCAGTCAGGCTGTACATTCTTTCATTTATAGTCATAATGAAATAGTGCCTGTCAAGTACTGTCTTAAAGTAGAAAAATATCCAACTGCCATGTTTATATCCTCAAAACCTGAGCTAAAAAGACAACTTCAATTCCAAATAATATATATAATAATATAATTTCTGGGTTTTATTAGTTGTTGGAAAACATGACTGAAGTTGTGAGAAAAGGGATACAGGAAGCACAACTTCAGCTTCAGAAAGCAAATGAAGAGCGACTTCTGGAAGAGGTAAGGCTATGAACACGAGTTATCTATAACCTGGCACAACACAGGTAGCTTGCTTACCAGCCAGCGTTTGACTGTGTACTTTGCAGGGACTGCTACGACAAATACCTGTAGTAGGCTCTGTGCTGAACTGGTTTTCTCCATTCCAAGCCTCACCAAAGGGAAGAACATTTAACTTAACCGCAGGTAGGAATCTGTGCATCTGCAGCCATGTTATGAACTGTTTCAGATTTTATACTAGAATTATAAAACACTTTCTTGTGCTGATTTGATTGTGACTGACATTAATCCACCCTCAGGATGTAAAAGAATATGCTCTTCACTATTTCTGTAACAACCAATAAGACAATCTTGTCACCTCACTTGTACAGTTTATGTTTTATTCTTGTATTTTGAGTCACATTAAAAAAGCTATATTTGACATCGACCTTTATCAATAGAGGAATAATTTCTGTGACTTTCAGCTACCTGTGCTGCAGGAGTTCAGCATCTATACTTAAGCTAGCAGGGTAGCTCAGATCTTAGAATGTTGCTTCTCCACATATGTGCAGATGTATCGTCCAGTGTGCTTGCAAAGCGTCACTCAGATGCTCTGCTGTGCTGCTGGAACTTGATGTCTCTGAAATCCTGGTTTGAGCCACCACCTGGCTATTGCCATATGGATAAAGTACTAGTTTGCATGCTAAACAGTGCAGTGCCTGACAAGGACAGGCTAAAACTGGCTGAGGACTAGCATGAACATATCTTTGTGGGAGACAGTCGTGAATGCAATATTACAATACAAAAGACTATTATTTTACTCATATCTGTAATTCATGTCTGGTAATGTGAAAAGAACTGTTTATAGCTTTTACATCATTAAGAGTGAAGTACTAACATAATACTTTATGAAATGATAGATTTTTTCACTGTAAATGATTTTCACTGTGGCAGAATCTTAAGAGTATTCCTGAACTTGGCAAAGTGACTGTCAGACCTAGAACAAGAGCCCAGCTGCCTGTGTGTCCTTGTAAACAGTGAGGAAGGCTTTCTGCTGTATTTTATATCTTTCTGATTCTTGATGGACTGACTGGAAAGTTCTTAGGCAGAGAACAGCAAAGTTTCCTTGGGAATACTTACCCTCCCTCATATCCCCTTCCAAGTGCACGGATCAATAGCTCACAGCTGGGAGTATGTCAAGTGCTCAGTGGAGAAGGGAAAAAGAACTATTGGATGTAGCAGTGTTGTGAAGTGAGCGTGAGGGGAAACTTTATTCATCTTTGTAAGTCTCAGCACTCATATCCCCATGTACTCAGAAACTACTACCATCAAGTGGCAGTTTCAGCTCGTCCTAGCACATGCAGTTTCAGAAATGTGCAGTAAAAACAAGATTGTGTGACATAGCTTGTAAATACAGATGGATAGAAAACTTGTCTAGTCTGTGCTGTATTCAACTTAATGCTTTTTTTTTTTCAACCTGCAGGCTCTCTGGAATCCACAGAATCTACATATTTGTCAAAAGCCCAAGGAACAGGCACTACTCCACCACCAACTCCTACTTCAAGCCTTGCAAAGCAAAGACTTCCTGGTAAGTTTCTACATCTTAAGTTTTATTTGTAAAACTTGCTAAATATCCTGCCGTCTGAGTTGCATGACACAGGAAGACCAGCCTGACTTTCCATCTTTCATAATATCTGGAACTAGAACTTATCTTCTAGTGCCTTAAGTCTGCCTTAAAAACCTTAATTTAAACATGGCATGGAACACCAGCCCCATCTGTTTTCTCCCCAAGAATTCTTCCTGGGATTACAGGAAGTTGTTATCCCGTTAACTGATAATTGCCCAGGAAGTCTGGAATATTATGAGGTTACTGAGTTTTAAAAATTAGCAGGTAAAGAAGCCAAAAGTTTTATTTGAAATAAAAGCATAAATAATGTATAATAATGTATTTGAGCAATTGCATTTCTGTGGCTACCTAGTATTTTGTGGACAAAGTCATTCTCAGGTGAAGATCTTTTAAATCTATTGCGCTTTCTGTGTAGTGTTAGTAATTAATGTTGATTTGACTGGCAGGAAAACCATAGATTTAATTCGCCTTTTGAGTTGGTTGGCTTCCAGCCTGCGATTTTCAGTGCAAGTTTTTACCCTAGAACAACTTCACTGTGCATGGAGGCAGCTTGTTTTCAGCTGAATTTTAAGTGTCTCTGTTGAGACAGGATAAAATAACAGGTGCTATTGCCTTGCATACATGCCTGTAACTGCAAGAAAGTATTTCCATTTGGGGTGCAAATTAGCACCCAAATAAAACGTGTTTCTTTGCAGTTGTGACATTCAGATACTTTCTGTGAAACTTAACTTGTGTATACCACTTTTTGTATTTGCTGCCTTCGTTGATGCTGTGTTCTTCTAACACTTTATAGGTCAGAAAATTTTTAAAAGGTCTCTAAGAAGTTCTGATGCTTTCAGTGAGACCAGTTCAGTCAGCCATTGTGATGACCTGGAGAAGATGGATCAGAGACCCCTAACTCTGTACTCTGGCCAAGAGCAAGGGCCTTTGGAGACAGAAAAAACAGAGAAGCACAAGGAGGTGGCACAAGCAACAAAGACAGACAGTGAGGACATTCAGAGTGACAAATCGCCAAATGACTGCACAAAGGTAGAGGAACAAGAAAGTCAAAGATAAAATCCAGACTGGATTTCAGACTTTGCAGAGAAGGCCCGTGCCCCAGGAGGCAGGGCATTAATGATGCATTCAAAATGTGAACAGTGCCAGACACTAGTACAGTAATAACTACTGTATCTCATTAACTGGGATTTTGCACAGATATAAATTCCCCCCCATGGGACAGAGACTTGTCTTACTGTACACTTGTTACAGTTGCTTTAATCCTCTACAAGTCCGTGTCACCAAAGTACTAGTGAAATTTATTAACTGCTCATAAACATTTGTAAAAGCAATTGGCAGTTCTCCTTCCTGTAGGAATCTAAGCATGATAACAGTTGCTCACTAACCAATCAGCCGTACACAAGATTGAGAATACAGTAGCACCCAACGATTGTGAAATGATCTTATGTTAATACACTTAAAAGCAATCAACTGCCAATTGCTCACCTTTTTAATATTTGAGTTTATCCTTGCCTCCAAAACATCCACTGCAGTCACATGAGCTCTTTTTGCTTCTTTTTTAACCCTCATAAAGAGCATTGCCAAACAGTCGTGGTGCAGGGGCGTTAAGGATGGTGCCCGTGTATATAGGAGTCACTTAGTACTTTGCCATCAGCCATTTCTTCCTGCTGCTGTTATGACTGACTTGACCCCTTCAGCTACGGCCCCAGGTGCAGTGGGGACCAAGTTAATGAGTTCTAAGCCTTTTAGAAAGAAATAGTGCCTCTGCATGCCTCAATGGCTTCTTGCTTCTGCCACTGGAAAGAATCACCAACACTCCATTATTTTCCTTTGCACGCCACTTATAAACCAAATACTATTGAACACGTTCATGTAGTGTAACTGGAGTTCTCTCTGTTGTGTATTTTTAAAGATAGTTGTAGTAAAGCTTGAAAAAACAGTACATTTGTGATGGTTTCAACACTTATTTTTTGAACAACAGTAACTTACCTATGGTAGGATTTGTACAGACTCAGAGAAATGATATAGGTTATTTACACTACAGCACAACTTCATAGTGTCTAGGACTACTTAATGCACAAGCAAAGCTTTGGATAAATCAAAAGCTAAGGTGAAGTCTCCCCACACACCCCCTGAATTATCTTAATCACTTTGCTGCAAATTTTCAGAGCCTCTTGTAGAAAGGAGATCTTTGGAAAAGCTTGTTTTCCTCATGGTTGTCTGTTTTGGGGGAAAACCATCTCATCCCTATAGAACTGGATACAAGTACTGTAGTTTGCTTAATTTGTTTTTTGTTTGTTTTTTTTTTTTCTTTCCTTAAGGTATAAATTAACACCATTATGGATGTAGTGGTAGCAGGATTTTGATAATCTGAAAAATTTGGGTGATTTGACTCTCAGCTTCTAGATCCTGTGGGGCTGGGATGCCACAAACAGGATTAATTTTCCTGTTGGGGTAATTTATGTAAATCAGAGTGCAATTTTTCTAAAGTGCAAAAACAATTAAGTTGACTAGTCTTCCTCATTGGTTTCTTTGGTGCAATGAAGTATGTTAATAAGAGTAATTTGTTGGGGATCAAGGGGAACAAGGATTAATTTTTGATGTTTTTATATTTGGAAGTGTTAAACCAGTAGTTTTGTTGGAATGAGCTTCTTTCTTCAGATACTATCTGAATGTTTCAATAAAGATTCTTCAAATTATTACTCTTGAATTAAATTATTGTTGAAGGATACTTCCCTACATTTCCATAAGCTTTAAGTGCGTGCAACTTCCTTTCACTTTATGTGGAAAATCATTTTCTGAGGTACACACCAATGTGATGACTTCCCTCTCACTCTCTATCTGTGCCGATCAAACTACTGCACTGGAGCAACAGAATGGAAACAAAGTCAAATTCTTGCTTCAAAGTAGCAGTGATTCCTACACACGTAATGCAGAAAAAGCAAGTTACTTCTGTCAAAATATTTTATTTCGGAAAGCACAGGAACAATAGTGGTTTTGAGCAGCAATATGCTTTTTGCAACAAATCGCTCTTCTTGCAAGCCTATACTTCTCTAAAGCAGTTGTGGTGTTTGGTTCCAGGTTAGATCTTGTCAGAACAAACCTGTTCCCACAACCCTTCTTCATTTTTTTTGTAGATGCGAGGTTTCCTGTCAGGAAACAGGGAGTGAGATGGAAAGGGATGTTCTTTTAAAAACGTTAATGTAGATCTAATGTGGGAAACAAAGTGGGGTGGCTCAGCCAGGGGCGATGTGGAAAGATTCTGAAAAACAAGATCGTAGCAAGAGCTGCTTGACATTCAAAGTTCTCAATTATTCTGCCTTTTAATAAGATTATTTCCCACCCTCCCTAGCAGTACAATGGGAAAAGTTTTGACAGATCACACCCCTCTCTCTACTCAGCTAGAAAGGTTAAAAAAAAAAAGTGTCAGTTTCAGGTACCTGTAAAATCTGTTTATCATCTTGTTCCAACCAGAAATCCACATGTGGGAAAGGCCTCCAGAAGTAAGGCCCAATATGGAGTTGCTCCCTCTTTGCATCATAGATGTTGGTCAGCTGTAACGACACAGGGAGCCCCAAGAGTTAGACAATGCCTGTACGGATGAGAGGCAGCAAATTCGCTGGATCGCGAGGCCTTGAGCGCTACAGCTCCTGTCTTGGGCATGCTGCACGCCAGCTCAGCCCCGCTTCCTTCCCACTGCATAACGAGTAACCAGTTACTCTGACAAGACATTAAACTGTTAACAACAAACCCAAAACTGAAAGATCCTGCTGGGATTATGC